TATCTAAAGCAATGTGTGAACCCTTGCTTGAGGATGCACTTGGTCATTCAGTGAGAAACCAGAAAAATTCTTGACTATTCCTGATCTCTGCAGGTTCAAGCTCAGTATGTGCTTAACTTCCAGGTAAATGATTTAAGTCACTGTTAAGATGACAAGGGATGCTCTGCCTATCCTTGGACACAACTTCAGCTGTGACCTTTCTCTTCTGGACAAACTATCAATGAAGTTCAAATCAACAGACTTTCTCTCTTCCATCTTCACACACTTACCAGATCTGAAGGTCCAACCTGAAGGGTTGTTTGAAGGCATATTTATAGAGCTGAGGGAGATACATTGCTGGATTTCCACTATAAGACACTAACTTAGATTCATACTGGGGGGATTAATTTAAAAACAAAAAAAAACACAAAAAAAATCCAGCCACACTTGGCTTTGCTTAAAAATCCCATTGAAATCTACATTTTTGTATGCAGAAATGTAATTTTAAGGCTATAATTATACATCCTTTTTATTAAACTCAAGTTTCATAGAGGTAGAGAAAACTTGTTTTGGCCTGCTTTCCTATGGAGATATAAAACCCTGTGCAAGATATATATAAATATCCACCCAGTATTTTTGTCTCAGTGGGATTGTTTCCCCACAGGATTTCCACATCTTTGTCCACCTCTTTTTAAAATGTGAAAGAACTGAAGTATTGATTTTATTTCACACTCTAAGGACATGGTAGCAAGAAAATACTGGACTAAAATGAAACTGTGCTGAGCTTTATCCCCTGCTTCCTTATTATGAAAGCACTTGTTCAACTTGAAGCATATGAATACCACAATTTATATGCAGCCAAGTACTTAAATTTATACCTAAGTTTTAAGATGTAATTGAGATCACTGGGGAATAAGAAAGTGCTATGTATATAATGTACTAGGTTATTCTGTTACACTGAGGTTTCATTTCTTTGCCCCATCCAATTCCTTTGTAGTAATATGCCTTGCTCAATAGTTCCTGGACCTGCAATAGATTTAGCTTTTTTAACTCTTCTCCTCACTTTCAAATTCTTAATTTAATAAACAAGCCAATAAAGAATCTAAAGAAAAGTATTTTAAAAGTTAACTACAAGTCCTCAGTGGAGGCTGTAGTGACCATTTCCCAAATCCACATACACTATTTTATGGTGATTTTACAGAATCACACAGAATCATAGCATGTTACGGATAGGAAGGGACCTCTGGAGATCATCAAGTCCAACCCCCATGTCAGAGCAGGACCACCACAGAATCTAGGGCAGGTCACTCAGAAAGGCATCCAGACAGGCCTTGAAAGTCTCCAGAGAAGGAGACTTTGTAACCTCTCTGGGCAGCCTGTCCCAGGGCTCTGTCACCCTCATAGTAAAGAAGTTCTTTCTCATGTTGAGGTGGAACTTCCTGTGCTCTAGTTTGCACCCATTGCCCCATATCCTATCACAGGGTACGACTTAAAAGAGGTAGTCCTGTCCTTAACACACACCATTCAGATATCCACAGACATCAATAAGATCCCCTCTCAGCCTTCTCTGCTCTAGACTAAACAGGCCCAAGTCTCTCAGCCTTTCCTCATCAGACAGCTATTCCAGTCCCTTAATCATCCTTGTACCCTCTGTTGGACTGTCTCAAGTAAATTCCCATCCCTCTTGAACTGGGGAGCCCAGAACTGGACACAATACTCCAGGTGGGGTCTCACTAGGGCAGAGAAGAGAGGGAGGAGAACCTCCCTTAGCTGCTGGACACACTCTCTTGAATGCACCCCAGGATACCATTGGCCTTCTTGTCCACAAGGACATATTACTGTCCCATGGATATTAGAACTAAGTGTCTTCTAGATCTTAAGATTTCAAGATGGAAAGTCCATGGGATGAATTCTTGGTTGGTGTAGTCAATTGAACTGTTGAGGTTTTGGCCACAGTGACATTGTGAAAATGGATTCCACAATTTGTGTATTCAAACCAAAAGTTTTGGTTAAGAATTTGTGTCACCCCTAATTTTTGAGTTATAAGGGTCAGTGATTATTTGCTCCTTATTTACTCCTCTCATAACTTCACTATCTGTCTCCATTTGGCTCACACCCAGGGCTAAATTGAAGCAGTTGCTCTCTCGCTCAGTGACCCCTCTCCAGTCAAGAGGGAGAATCAGAAAGTGGAGAGAAATACCATGGAAATATAAACAGATGTAATGAAATAACAAACTAATACAGAGACCAACCTAAAGTATATGAACTTACACTCACCTGACTCCTCAGGTGTAGCAGAAAGCCAAGAAGGCAGAGCCTCAGGAGAGCAAGCTCCCTATGCTCAGCACAGCTCCTCTTATCCTGAGCACGAGGAGAGTGCTGTGGGATACACCTGTTGGTCAGCCTGGGCCAGCTGCCCTGCCTAGAGCAACCAGCTGACTCAGGGCTGCTAATGGCCTGTCCCCCATGGCTGGTCTATGATTGTGTCCCAGTGAGACCAGGACACTACTGATGAGCTTGAAGAAAGACTTGGAGACTATTACCTTTAGTCTCTCTACATGAAATTAATTCCATCCTTCTCCATGTATGTTTCCATCCTACACCATTTCTTCTTCCAGAGAAGCTGATAAAAACTGTGTGAAACATTCAAATGTAGGCACATCCCTTATGTACACTAGCACCCCAGATTTTCCTCTTTCTCTATTAAACTTCTTATAAATGGTAACATTCTGCTGGCTTTACCACATGAGTTCACCACTGAACTGGTATTTTCTGGTTGATTTTTGGTTCTTGTTTTCATGTGCATTACTTTTAATTTATCAACACTTATTTTATCATGCCACCATGAAGATATTTAGAGCATAGATGGGCTCCTTCAGAAGGCAAGTAATCCATCCTTAATTAGGAGTCTAGTTCAAGAAAACTAAGTTGCCCAATATCAGACTCTACTTTTCCTTGTAATTTTGCAGGCATCATCACTACTTTACAGAGTGACTGATACTGGATTCCTTGTATTACTGTCTTCCTCTTTAGTCATAGAGCCTTCATCAGGGAAAACTACAACACGTGTTCATAGATTTTATTGTTTATACTTTCTTCTCAACATCTCAAAATTTGAGATGCCTCTTACTGCAACAAGTCAGTTTTAAAGCAACTGTGCAGTTAATCCATCCGTTTTAGACCAAAACACTTCTGAAGAAGTACTATGACTTTTATTTGTGGCCAACTTGCCTGTTTTCTTTTTTCATGCACCATACTGGGACATTTTTATTTGTCTGTTATTTGCTATTTTTTCTTTAAACTCAGTATCCATATTTCATCTCTGTAATTTGGTAACTTGGTAAAGATCCCAGATTACTTTTAGGTAGATTATTGGCACCACAAGTAGTGCCAGTCTATGTCAGACTACAAGGGGAAGCTCTTCATGGACTTCCCCACATCTTCTGATGTATTTTGATTCCATGTACAGTCACTAGTCTGGATTGGGGAGACTTTTTATTTTACAGTACAGCCACACAAAGCAAAAATAGTAATTTAGTAAAAGCCCCCTGAGAGTACATTTCTTTCTAAAGACTGTGTAGGAAGGCAATAGCACAAAACTTGGTCTGTTGCTGTTCTGAGGAATAATCAGTGTAGCTGAGCCAAGCACCCAAACATCACTCAAAAACACAGTCATGTCACTTACGGTGTAACTCATTGTTTCTCATAGTGTTTCAAATCCCTTAAGAGATCATGAATGTTTTCATCAGTTGTTAATATTTAATTATAAGAAATATAAACACACCCTCATTGTTTTATTTTCATATGCACCAAGACCTTTTCATAACAATAACACAGCCTCACTAGTTGAGGCAACTGTGGGGGCTAAAGGGGAGTAAAAGTAGATAGTGCATTTCTTTCTGCAGTGGTCTTTATACAGGTCTACAGAGTGTGGCACAACAGATGACTTCAAAGCTTCTGAGATGTCAACCTTCTAAGTTCATAAATTGAATTATCTTTATGCTGTTTCTGAGGTGTTGTATTCAAACAAATAATTTAATCCCACACTTGACACGTGTGTCTCACACATAGTGAGGTTTAAATCTGTTTCAGATTTAAGCTCTGTTTGACCCACTGGTCATCTTTGGTTATCCTGGTTATGAAAACTGAGAAAATGAATGTAATGTTGTCTCTCCTTCACTGAAAAATTCTGCCATGCTGCAGGAGATGCCTGTGCATTACAAGAGATGAGCCACGTTGAAGATTCCAAGGTTAAATGAGTTTATTGAGTTAGTGGTTACAATGGTATGTCAGATACCTGTAATCCAAGCTACACCTACATATTTGCCTCTAAATTCTCACACTGTCAGTTTCCGTGTCTCTAAACATTCCACCACCAGGTCTTCTATTACTAATATTATAATCATAATAATAATAATATAAAAGGCAATGTCAATCACCATATTGTGCTTCATACTCCACCATAAGGAATTCAATTGGCAAAAGTAAACCTCTGGTCATATTAATGGGATTAATTGAAATGTGAGCAATCATAACACTACTAGAATATAAAGAACAAAATATGGTTTAAAAGAAACATTTTTAAGATGAATTAGTTTGTATCTCTTTTAAAAATTCACTTACTGTAATGAAGATGACTTAAAAGTTATATCATTTAATTATTGGGCCACACATTTAAGCATATTGGCTAGTACATTTTTGCACTGGAACAGAAGCAATACAAGCCTTTATGGTCTACCATTACAATTCCTTTTTTTTTTTTTTTTTTTTTTTTATTTCATTAAATTCCCTTCCCACCAAATTTTTT